TTAACACATTTGAACAAACAAACAAATTCTTTATTATACTATTACATAACAAATTTACAATATATTTGCTTGAATAAAATTGAGCATACAGGGTCACCGACTCCAGTTGTCCTTGAATTTGAAAACTGAAGTTGGCAACCCTGGTGGCAGCCAGACGGACGGCGCACGGCGCAGTGGCGTCCAGAACAATATAATAATATCGCAGATGTCTAAGTTACGTATTACGACTTATGTGGTGTTTTCATTGCAATTTATAATATTCATCTTATTAACTAATTGTTGATTTTTTTTTCTTAATGTCACTAGAAATGGTGTACAGTTGCTTAGGGTTGCCAACCATACTATCAAATTAGCGTGAGTCCTTATGCGATACACAGACGTCAAAGTCTTTTAAAGGCTCTTAGCATTATTTTTTATGCAGGTTAGAATGGCAAACAAGCTTATGGCCCACCTGATGGAAAGCGATAACCGTCACCTATACATACGATTAGTACCATGAACATAACAGAGTATACTGTTTCGCCCATGATACCCCCCATGCGTTGCCATTCCTGAGGACTCAGGTGTTATTCCTCTGTACCCTGTAAATTCACTGCCATATCCCACCCTTCAAACCGAAACACAGTCATGCAAACACAACTGTTTCACGGTAGAAACACGAATGGGACAGAGGTGCTCAAGAAAACGACTTTTGTACAGTCTTCCTCTGGTAAATAAATAAAGATATTAAAAAAACTGATACCTACAACTGACTGCAGTGGACATTTACTGTCAGGTCAAGTGAATCACATGGTAGGTATTCATTTGTCCTCCTATCCATATAACATAAAGACGTTGATAAGTTAAGTGCACCGAAGTAAAGGGTTTTTTAGTAAAGAGAATCAACGTCTTGCTAGTAGTCTTCGACGCGTTCTCTCCTGGAATTATCGTGATGATTTCTTGGTAACTTCGTCACAAAAATCTGATTTTATTTGCACCTAACATCTCTTTCTCTTACAACCCTTTAAGGCGGGAGAAAGGTATTGTTAGTAATGGGGTTTAACAGTATACACAGCTAGCAATATACACATCAGGTCGATCTCCACGCGATTTCCCCTGGAAACCATCGTGGTTAATTCTTGTGAAATAGGCTAGGCGATAGGCTTTTTTTATGGATGATTATGGAATGGTAATCCCGTCTACGCTATCGGTATATGCTGGTGGGGCACCAGTGAGGGATGATAGATGAGAATGAATAGGCAGGTCAGTTAGCCCATCGTGATGAACACACCTGGAATTCAGCATGATGGTTTCAAGGGGTGACCACGTGGAGGTCGACCTGGTAGGGTATATTGCTAGCAATTGAACTAGTAGTATTACTAACAATCCCTTCCACTCCCATCACGATAGGCTAACTGACCTGCTTTGATCCTATCACTATCACTTATCATCTATCACTGCTGCCCCGCCAGCGTATATCGATAGCGCAGATGGGGTTACTATTTCATCAACATCGTTAAAAAATCCCTTTAGGATAAATTCCATTTCTCTACATAAAAAAAAATATATATCTACAATATAACTGTAATGGACAGTGACTGATTGTAATTGGACTAGTAACGCCATCTATCTATTCTAAATAACACCATTATTTAGAAGAACAACTTCGATACCTTGGCATCAATTTCATCAATTAGCGAATAAACAATATTATAAATATTGTTTATTGAATAAAATCAGAAAAGCATTTTTTTTTAAGATAATTTCTTATAGACCTAAGACTTAATATCTTTGAAGCTTGCTTTTTATTAAGTACTGCTATTTCTCAATAGATGGCAGGGATAACGAAAAAAAAAAGTAAAATATTGGTATAAACAATTAGTTTATTTATTTTTACTTAAATAAAATATTTATTTATAAAATAAAAATAACAGCATGTTACTATATGCGTAATAAATATTTATGGTATTTTAATCAATAATGTACGCCTTAATATTGCATTTTGAGTCAATAAAATACAAAAGTTAATATTCTCTCATTAATTTGTATATATACTTTATATATTCAGCTTAAATAGTTTTGAAAAATAAATTGAATAAAAATCCAAACAATCACACCTATATAATATATATTTATACATATATTGGTTGCAGACATGATGAAAACCTAAAATTTCATATACATATATCTCATATTACCTATTATCTGAATTCATGAAGGTTTTCAATGTCTATATGTCATATCTTCATGCATTTTATGTTTAATACATATGTATAAAAACGCGTAGAGACTACGTAAGCCAATGTTTTAATTTTAAATAAACTTACCACATTGGAGTCATATTTGAAACAATCTTATAACTGTAACTTTGTTTATTTTAAAATATAGTTTCATTATAAGTAAATAAAGATGTCACTAAAACATGCTTTAATCGTGAACAAAATGTTTCCTAGCGCCGGCTTGAATTTATTAAAATCCAAGTTGATTTCTATTATCGTTTACATATCTGGGACATGTAGCAAAAATAATACTATATCATCCGTGAATATCTTAATCCAGATTTTGAATTTGCGGTTAGAAGATTTAACGAAAGGGTCAGGAATGTAAAACGGTTGGAATCCGAGTAATATAATAAACGTAAAAGTTTGTGACGATGTATGGTTGCATGGATATTTACTACTCTTTCACTCAAAAGCTACTGAACGGATTTGAGTGAAATTTACTACACGGATAGGTTATATCCTAACTTAGTACATAGGGTACTTTATGTACTAATAACGCAGCAGAATCGCGGGATACAGCTAAATATTTGTACTGATTAAATAAACGTAAATCTTGCTTATCAAATAGCTTAAAAACTATCAACGTTTGTATGCAAATTAACATTTTTAAATCGAAATTGTTAAAATATTAGTTGACTACCAAAAAAATATGTTAAAAAAAAAGATAGATTTTTTGTTGTCTAAAATTTTTTAAATCCAATAAAAGTGTTATTATTTTTTATCTATAGTCTGTTTTTCCCGTAGTTTTCCAGTAGTTGCTACACTTGACAGACGGATTGACAACTGCAGTTAGGCCTTTGGGGATGTTTTAAGAGGGACGCTGCTGCCCATCCCTCGACCATAAGATCTCTTAATCACATCTTACGACACCCACGGGAAAAGAAGGGGTGGCCCATTCTATGGACCAATACGGCGTAACTACATTAACTTAAAATTAATTCGACTTCAACACGTAAAAATAATTAGAAATTATTTTGTTCATACTCCCGCCAAAACAACTTCGAGCTTATGTTTTGCAAATTATTATCCTATTGCCTCTCTCGCTCTTACACACAGGTTATTGTATTTTCTGTCTCGTGCATTGCCAATCTATATACTTCATAATCTATGGTCCAGACTCATGGTCGAAGTAACTATAAATATGCATTCGGAGAGAGGAAGGCATTACTAGTAATATAGTCTAATATCCCAATAATTATACTAACAATGGGAATATTAGACTCGATGAGATCGACCTCCACGAGGTATCCCCTAGAAACTAACGTAATTAATTCTTCAATTCATTACAATGGTTAACTGAGCTGCTTCCATCTTCACCTTTCAACTCTCACGCATACTTCAGTATACGCTGGCGGTGGTGCCCCGATTTTGGCAGCGGTTTTTTTTTTTTAATAAGTGAAAATTAAACAGTGACCCCTATTTGCAATGAATAGGTATTATCTATAGGGGAGGCCTACAACAGTAGACAGTAACTGTAGCAACTGAAATTAAAAAAAATTTATAATATATAAATGAAGACGTAGATAAAAGAGATTCAATACTGCAGTGTTGTCTGCCTCTTGCTGTGTAGATAACTGGGGTGTTATTTATACAGGTGATTACTGGTGATGTAACATAAAATATAAAAATTTATTCTTATGTAAATATATATCGTTTTAAGAGAATCATTAAAATTTTCTGCAGTTTGAATTTTCCACTACTACTTTTTTATACAGAAAATGTTATTGTATAGTATTTAATAGTCTTGAAATATCAAGACTTAAAGGTAATAATAAATTTCTTCGCACACATATCATACAAATAGGATGTTACAGGTAGTTACTCAGCCCTGAGATTCAGAAATACGGAGGAATAAAAATATTGTTTGAAAATACCAGAGGGAAACTTTGTAAAAAAGTCGTTTGCTTGAGCACCTCTGTTTCTACCGTGAAGCAGTTGTGTTTGTATGTGTTTCGGTTTGAAGGACGGGATATGGCAGTGAATTTACTGGGTACAGAGGAATAACACCTTAGTCCTCAGGAATGGCAACGCATGGGAGGTATCATAGGCGGAACAGTATACTTTGTTATGTCCATGGTACTACACATGTCGATAGGCGACGGTTACCACTTGCCATCAGGTGGGCCGACAGCTTGTTTGCCATTCTGAAGTTGTATAAAAAAAAAAACTAGTCGGGCATCACCAAATTTAAGCCCATATAAATAATAAAAAAAATATTTTAGACAAGTGGTCTCTTAGGTAATAAACACTGGAACAATTTGGTCAAATAGTAAAATAAGTACACCTACCGATATTTTAATATATTATTTAAATTTAAAAGTCTAATATGACTTTTTATGAGAAAAAAAAAACCTCTACCAACTAAGCTAGTTTTAAAAAAATATTAGATATTAGAAATCGGGTACGACATATTCTTTCCCGCGTTTCTTTTGTGTACAGTGGCGCCACTCAAAAGGAGGGTATTTAACAATTCTAACAGTAATCACCTTATCGTTTATTGAATCTATAATTCCCGCTAATTCCCCAATGAAGATTTTCTCTTATAAAAAAAAAATGTTATTTTACTCTATGCACATCGATTCATGTAAAAAAAAATAATTGAAGTATTTAACAAGTGATTTATATTAAAAAAAAATCAGTTGTACCTGCGAATAAATGAAGGAAATTTGATGTATCTAATGCTATCATATAACCTTGTATAGGTACAACAGCGCCAGACGAAACGAAACGCCATTAGTCGCAAATTTTTACTTAGCACGAAGGTCGTGCAGTTATTTTGTAGGTAGTAATAATAGTACATCACAAACAGTCGTATAATTCGCACGTATCGTAAGAAATCTTGTAAATAGATAATAATTGATAACGATAGCACGTATCATACTGTATAATTATTATTCACATTCAAATTAACTATATTTATTAAATTATTAGTGATCTTCGAGTAGGTAATTGAAGACGTATTAAAAAGAATATAGTTCTAATAATTTCGCAAAGATGTCGCTGACTCGTGTTTTGATAGTGAACAGATCTTATCCCAGTGCCGGCTTGGAATTATTGAAAGGAAAGTAAGTATTAACAATCTACTTTTTATACAATTTAGAATGGCGAACAAACTGTCGATCCACTTAATGGAAAGTAGTAACAATTGTCGCCTACAGGCATGATCAGTATTACGTACATAACAGAATATTCTGTAACGCCGGTACCTACCCTTCATAAGTGTAAAAAAAAATAGTATGTACTTTTATTGTACTAAATCTAGATTATTTATAAAAAAACCCTAATGGCATATAACTAAGTGACACCATTTTAATGCTTTTCTTTTCCTTTATGTTTATTGTTAAGTGTTTTTCATACTTAAGTATGTAATTAGGCACGAAATAAATATTTCTTTCTTTCTTTAAGTGCCTACCCGTTTTTAATTGAATTAGACATGAGCACGGAGAACCCTAGCCTTCAAATGTGTTCACTTCATCTGACTGAATTTCCTTAATATCATACCTAACAAACCCCTCTCTCTCTCTCTTTTTTTATGCAACTTAAAATGGCAAACAAACTGACGACCCAATTGATGGAAAATGGTAACTGTCACTTATAAACATGAGCAGTACACTGCACATAACAGAGTATACTGTTTCATCCATGATTACTCTCATGCGTTGCCATTCCAGAGCACTCAAGTGTTGTTCCTCTGTGCCCTGTAAATTCACTGCCATATCCCACCCTCAAACTAAAACACAGCCATGCAAAGACGACTGCTTTACGGTTGAAACAAGAATAGGACAAAGATAGCCAAGCAAACGACTTTTGTACAAAATCTTATTTTAAATACAGAAATAATCGTTGAACAAAAAGTCACTATGTAATTAACACTAATTAGTACAAATAAAGAGTAATAAAAATAATACCTGCATTAATAGATATTACAGTCGCAAAATATTTTTATAAAGTGACGTGTGACGCGTACCCTATTTAAATTCTACTCAATGGCAATAATAAAAATTATAGCATTCATTCATTTTGTATGACGCCATTCATACTTGAGAATGTCAATGACATTCAATGATAATACATTCATGATCAATCATGAAGCAACCATATATCACAAAATATACTTAATAGGTATATTCTAGCGTCAGCTTGCAGCTTACTAATAGTTGCCACGCTTGGCAAATGGATTGGCAACCGCAATTAGGCTTTTAGTATTGTTTGAAGAGAGACGCTGCTGCCCATCCTTTGATCATTAAGTCCCCTTAGTCACCTCTTAACCCTACTTAACACCCAAGGAAAAGGAAGGGGTGACCTATTCTATATCGGAACTGCATGGCAAACTAGCATACTTACTTTTTTCTGATACATACGTTTTCACTTTTTTATAGTATTACCTCCTTATTCATAAAAACTAAAACTTTCTACAAACCTACATTAACTATTACACTGATTTCTCACTTGATTTCAAATTCAAAATTAAGCGTGAAAGAAAGAGTCAAAACAGTTAAATGATACCACTTTAATGGCTAAACTAGGTTTATAAGAGGTTTGACGTTTTATGAATAAAAGCTATATGCAATGGTTACCACTTTCCACTAGCCATGTCTTTTTGAGTTTCATAAAAATACAAAAAAAAAATTATAAACCACATATAAATAAAACTAAAATTACAAATTTTATAGTTCCAGGATCCAAGCAACAGTATTACCTTATGAAGACTACGAGCCGCAATCATTAAAAGAAATAAAACAAAGTGTTAAAGGAGTCGACGGTTTGATATGGAACACGAGGTATCGACTGACAGGCGAAATACTAGACATAGCGGGTCGGTAGCTATTTGAATTACATTTTATTGATGATAGAAATATGAGCAGAACATTTTGCACGCTTTGCTTCTATATTCAAAAACTGAACAATTTTTCTCGAACTAAAAATTATCTATAAGTAGATAGTGAATATAAATACCATAATCCTGATAAAAAATATGAGACAAATATGAGAACAAACTACATACCAAAGTTGATAATTAATACTATAAATTAAAATTGTGTTCCACAAAAATAAAACTAACTTCAATTATGGCAAACCCAGTTATTTTGATTTAAAAACTAGTTTTTCGTAAAATTTCTATGGGACTAATCTGTAAATATATCCCATCAGATAAAGAACTTTCCAAATGAGTTTCCAAAAAAAAAACTGGCGAAATTATGAGGTAACAAACATAACAAAAAATACAATCAAATTAAAAATCTCCTTCATTTTGAAGTCATTTGATAAAAAGAAACATCAAAAGTAATGCAAACTTGATGAAGATTTTGTGTGAAACAGACCCAAAATCTACCGTCAAAAATTTTTAATCTTCTTTCTGAAGAAACTTAATAAGTTAGTTTTACAATTCAGGTCCGCAATTGAAGGCCATATCATCGACGTCTTCGGGTCTTGACCACATAGACCTGGAAGAAGTGAAAAAACGCAACATCCGTCTTGGGAACACTCCTGGAGTGTTGAATGATGCTGTAGCCGATATTGCCGTTGGAGTAATGATTGCTGCGGCTAGAAGATTTAAAGAAGGGATCAGGAATTTAGAGAGGTAAACTCTACATTATGATCTACACTATAAGTTCTCAACGTGGGTAATAACGCCCCCTTGTAGGCGTTGGAAACTTTAAGGGGGACAGTAGAGAATCAAACTTATGTATCTATAAGTACATTATGTTCGCATATTCATTACATTAACGCAGTATAGGACGACTCCCCACTCGATGGAGTGACGATTTCAAGTGCATTTTTTTGTAATGGGTGATAATGGAATGGTAACCCCACCCACGCTATCGGTATACACCGGCGGAGTACCAGTGAAGGATGATAGGTGAGGATGAAGCAGGTCAGTTAGCCTATCGTGACGAATTCAACAAGAATTGTTCACGATGGTTTCCAGGAGGAACGATGTGGAGGTCGACCTAATAGGATATATTGCTAGCAATAGGGCTGTCAAACTCCTTTGCTAACAATCCCTTTCCCCCCACCTCAAGTGCATTGCAGGGAGTCATTGGATGCAGGTGGCTCAGAATCGTTCCTTATGGCAGTTTATGCGGGAGACCTATGTTCAGCAGTAGAAGGATAATAGTTAAGATGATTCATTATATAACATATAATATTAATACGAGAGTAAACCATTAAAATTTGTTTTTAAGATTAAAATACGCATAAGAAATACGCAAAAAATACAGGCCAATTGGGAAAAAATAAATTATCTAATTTCAGTGGTGAATGGAAATATGGTGTTACATGGACATTAGGACAGGACATAGTTGGAAGTACCGTCGGTATCGTGGGACTGGGAGGCATCGGCCAAGCCATAGTTAGAAGGCTGAAAGGCTTTGATGTAGCGAGGTTCATCTACAGCGGACGAAGTGAGAAGCCCGAAGGTAAAGAAATCGATCATTAATCATAAAAAGAAACTTTTTACAATGCATGTCTATTTCAAACTTTGGACTTTCTTTTTCTTTCTACTTTACACCAATTCTACAATTGATATCTTCTAGCAAAGACTCTGAATGTGGAGCGTGTACCACAAGAACAACTGTTGAGGGAGAGCGACTACGTGATCCTAGCGTGCCCCCTAACTAACGAGACCAGGAACATGATCAACTGTACTGCCCTCAGGACTATGAAGAAGACTGCTGTTTTGGTAAACATCGGCAGAGGAGGTAAGTGTTAAATTTAAATACAATCGAAGCATAACCCTCACATTTCTGTCGCACAACTTCTTCGTACGGTTGTTTCCCTTTGAAGTGTGAAATTCGGCAGTGAAATCACTGGGTACAAAAATTTAATCTTAGTCTTCAGAAATGGCAACTCATGAGAAGTACCGTTACTGTTTTTAATGGATGAAAATTCAATAGTAACTAAGCATGGATACTGATCCCATATTTCACCAGAGGAAGACTGTACAAAAGTCGATTGCTTGGGTACCTCTGTCCTATTCGTGTTTCTACCGTGAAGCAGTTGTATTTGCATGGCTGTGTTTCGGTTTGAAGGGTGGGATATGGCGTGAATTTACTGGGTACAGAGGAATAACACCTGATTCCTCAGGAATGGCAACGCATGGGGGGTATCATGGGCGAAACAGTATACTCTGTTATGTCCATGGTACTGCTCATGTCTATAGGCGATTGTTACCATATTCCATCAGATGGGCCGTCAGCTTGTTTGCCATTCTAAGTTGTATAAAAATATATGTTATATATATATATATATATATATAACATATATTTTTACAGGCATTTATACATTGATGATAGATATACTAAACATTGATGGCAGAAAAATGTCTTTACCCATTTCGATATCGCCCATATCGATCGAATATCTTTTTTTTATACCACTGAGGTGGCAAACAAGCATACGGCCCACCTGATGGTAAGTGGAACCCCTGCCGAGGATTTTCCAAGAGACTACAGCATGGGGTTCTTCAAAAGGGGGTTAAAGAGGTTCCTTCAGGGTCAGCAACGCGCCCGTAATATCTCTGATATTGCAGGCGTTCATAGGCTAAGGTAACCACTTACCATCAGGTGGGCCGTATGTTTGTTTACCACCTCAGTGGTATAAAAAAAGGGACACCGACAGCATATTGTATTATAACACATATAACATACTTTTAGTACAATACAATATTAAGACTATGCCTTTTAAAGGTATTTACAGGATTTTGACAGGTTGGCAATCACAGTTAAGCTTTGGGGATGTTTAAAGAGGGACGCTGCTGCACATCCCTCGATCATTATATTGTTATCAATAGCGACTAATATTCCCATTATATATATATATATATATATATATATATATATATATATATATATATATATATACCTATTCCTATATCATGGTATTAACTTTATTTCATCTTATTTATATTTTTATCTAACTTTATTTATATTATTATTCCTTTATTTCTGGGATATCATCTTAACCACCATATTATTTTCTGTGACGTCCTTAATACTACATAGATATATTCTTTATTGCACTTGTAAAAAAGACATATAGCGGTTCATATGTATGTATATGGGACTGTTTCCACTATCTATTAAGTAGGACGTTAGCTTGTATGGCATTACAAGTTGTGTACAAAAAAAAATCTACTTCTTACATATTATTATTTCACAGAACTGATAGATCAAGAAGCGTTGTTCGAAGCTCTACGAGAACAGTGCATATTCGCGGCTGGCCTAGATGTTGTCACCCCGGAGCCACTGCCCAAAGAGCATAAGCTGCTCTCGCTGCCGAACTGCTGTCAGTATCACCTTCATGATCATTACCACTTCAGTCTACACCGGTGTTTCCCAACGTGGGGCCCACCCCCCACAGGGGGGCAATTTGATAGTTAAGGGGGGGGGGGGGGGGGGCAATAAAAAAATTGGCTCGAAGCGATTTTAAGCCCTCTTGCTCCGGGCAATATATATATATATATATATATATATATAGTGTAATTAGGTGCGTTAGGTAACCATTATTTATATAATCTAGTCAAAGACCAAAAATCGTATTAATGTTACAGATGTGAAGGTAAACGTTACTCAATTATGGTTAAATAGGTAAATATAACCAAATGTAATTTGGTACACTTATAGACAAAAAAGCATCTCTTATTAGTAAAAGTACTTTTGACTGGTTAAGAGTTTTGACTCCAACAGATATACCAATTATACCTTTCATAGTGATTGCTATAAGATAATAAACAAACGCACTTTTATATTTATAATATTAGTACAGGTGGGTAGATACGGATCCATCGTGTATTTTATGAGAAAGTAGTACCAGATATATACATTGCTGTCTTCAATCTAAATATTAAATCAATGGTATATTACTGTAAATTTATTATTATTTATTTCAGTCATAATTCCACATATGGGAAGCGCTACGGTAAATACAAGGAACGCTATGGCGCAGATTGCGGCCAACAACATTCTTTTAGCATTGGACGGACAACCAATGCAGTTTCCTATTAATTGAATTACATTATTAGAGTTATCATTTTAAGTATTATTTTGTATTAGATTAAATTTTATTAAATTCAATCTTCATTAGTTTTATTTAAATATCTAAGAATGTTCACATTTAGAGTTTACTCTGTTATGTCCATGGTACTGTTCATGTTTATAAGGCGACGTTTACCACTTTCCACCAGGTGAGCCGTCAGCTCATAAGCATTCTATGTTACATATAATAAAGTTGGCTTAGCGAGCTCTCTCTTGAGCTCTCTTTTGCATTAAAACTACTCCATGATATTTCGAACCTGTATCCGCAATTGGACGTATTTGCCTCCAACTTGCTGGATTTTCGTCGGATGACCACAGAGTGTTCGTGTTCAGAGATTTAGGCTCTAATGTTATTTATATTTAAGTTTAATCTTTTTAATATTATTCCTTTTTATTATGTGTATTATTAATTTAATTTTTAATTAAAAGATTGCAGTTAATTCCTGGTGAACTTTTCAACACTGACCAGCTGATTTGATCTCATCTTCACCTATCATTATTTACTAGCACATAAATAGCGCTGACATATGTAAGTACCGTTCTATTTTCAACCGACTTCGAAAAAAAGAACGTTCCCAATTCGGTTGTATTTTTTTATGTTTGTTACCTCATAACTTCGTCAAGTGTGAACCGATTTGTAAACTTCTTTTTTATCTTAAAGAATATACTTACAGATTGGTACTATAAAAATGTTATCAAAATCGGTTTAGTACTTTAGTTCTTAAATCAAAATAACTGATTTTACCAAAATTGGAGTCGGTTTTTTTTGGGTCCCAATTAAAATTTTAATCTTATTAAAAAATTAGCATATTTGAATAGATATTATTCAATATCTAAAAACGATATCCAATCTTTTTACAATTAAATTTTAATTAATATTTACCTACTTCTTATCTCATTAAAAAGACGAGAATGGCATACGTAAAGCAATTCAACATCACGCATAACGTAAGAAAACTTATAACAAAAAACCGGTTCCGGACCCACTATATAAAGTAGATAGCCCGGAATTATTCTACCATTCTGGATAAGCCTTGAACATAACTATAAACTGCCAGTCACTTTAACAAGCTCACCATTTCGAGCGTTCATTTAACGCGATATGACTTTACCGCGAGATAAAAACTAAACTACATAAAAATATGAGCAAATACGTTGTAACAATAGTGCTGGCGATAACGTTAGCGACGCCGGTGGTTTACAGTGACAATAGCACAATGACAAAACATCTGAAAGTGTTAATAGCTAGTAACGATTTACCGGTGAGCGGGGTAAAACTACTTCAAGAACAGTAAGTGATCTGTTTAAATTTCTTATCACCTATATTGACCTTTGAGATTAGAAACGTTGTATATTTAAAAAATATTAATTAATTTGTATCTTTGACTGAATATTATAAATATAAAGACGTTCGTGTAACTTGTGTGTACTGTATGAAAAATCTAAATTAAACACTCATAGTAGTTAGGTATTATACAAATATGTAATGAATTAGGTACGATAGGTTAATTGAAAATGTTGTTTGTTGTAATAATAATTAGTTTCATTTTCGTTTCCTTATTTACGAGTATACTTGACAAATGTTAGCACTTAAAAACAAAGGTAGGTACCTACAGTTGCAATTCTATAATTGCAACACATCTGTATTCGTACCTATTAATTTTTATAATAGGCTAATTAATGTGTGTAGGTAGGTACTAATCTACTGGGATACTTTGATAGAAAGATAAAATTATACTAGTTATTTGAATAAATGCGATAACAAAACAATAATTTTATGCCTCATGGCTTACAGTATACTCGAACGCAAAGTAATGCCAAGGTCAGACTTTAACGTGGCACTAGCGGTAATTATTTTTATAAACATAAGTAGAAAACAAACCAAATTTGTAAGTTTTTAATTCATAAGTTTACAGCATTTGTTGCATTTTGATTAGCTATTTTTATAGCCTATATAAATATCACCAGAGGGAGACTTTATACAAAATTCGTTTGCTTGGGTACCTCTGTTCCATTCGTGTTTCTACCGTGATGCAGTTGTGTTTGCATAGCTATGTTTCGGTTTCAAGGGTGGAATATGGCAGTGAATTTACAGGGTACAGAGAAATAATACCTGAGTCCTCAGGAATGGCAACGCATGGGAGGTACTATGGACGAAACAGTATACTTTGTTATGTCCACGGTACTGCCCATGTCTATAGGCGACAGTTACCACTTTCCATCAGGTGGACCGCCAGCTTGTTTGCCATTCTAAGTTGCATAAAAAATTTACCTATAAATACCTATCCATCCTTGAGTTCAAAACTATCTCGAATCTGACAATTTCATGCAAATCGTTTCCTGGCAATACACCGTGAAATTCGTCTACAATTAATTAAAATACAAATAATTAGATATGAATGCTTAATTGCCTACTTTAAAAGTTACAATCCAATTTGTTTATAATAAATTTTTGGCGGCCATTTCGTCCGCTAAGCCGGGATATTATGATTTATTTATAGGATCACCAACGTAAGGTACAACTAAGTATTTCAATACAATACACTAGTGGATTAGGTCTAACTGTTATTACATTTAGAGGCAACTACAGCATGCTTTATTTGAGAAACATTATCATTATTATGAATGACAGAGATAATATGTTTTTCTCCATCCTAAATACATTATGTATGCGAAATTTCACATCAATTAGTAGAGCCGTTAAGACACCAAAGAATAACAAATAGGTAAAGAAACAAACTCATTCTCTGATTCGTTATATTAATATGAATAAGGATCAATAGGATAAATAAAGATATAATAATATTTTTACATTGTTATTTAGTGTCTGAATTTTATTTTATTTCAATAGGTGGTACACATTACAGAGAATTAACATTGTTACATTAATATATACAGTACAATAATGTTTTGTTTAAGCTAATCCTCCAAAAATATACGTGAATACCGACGATGTTTCATTTTGAATAATTATTTAAGATTGTGTTCCAAAAAAACCGACTTCATTCGAGGCAAAAACAGTTATTTTAATTTAAAAACTAAACTATGGAATCGATTTTGATAAAATTTCTATACGATCAATCTGTAAATATATACTTTCAGATAAAAAAGAATTTACCAAATCGGTTTACAACTAATAGAGTTATGAAGTAATCAACATAAAAATTGTACAACAGAATTGGGAGCCTCTCAAATGGTTATTTATTTTGTTTACTTAACACTTTATTGCACGAATATTACAAGAATTCATGAAGGTTTTGCAATAAGCATAGTGTAGTGCAAAAGGCGGTCTTATTGCTAAGCAATCTCTTCCAGACAACCTTAGTTAGGTACATTAAGAGATATGCAATAATAATAAAAAATATATTGTATAATACTGCTATCATTTATGTTTTTATCTACTTAGTGTTATCACTTTTTATATTATATAATTCGCTTAATCTTATGACGATGTATACTTACGCAGCTTCACTGTAGTACAAAATCGTTTCTCTTATTACGGAGACGATGAGAAGGTTCAAAGTCAAGAAGAATGCCTCAAACTGGTGCCCGGGTGCTCGGCGATAGTATGGGCCTCGAGTCACTCCATCACCGATGAGCTGCTGGACAAAGCTGGTAAGTAATCTCTTCACTATAATCTTAAAATAATAAAATTGTAATTATGCGATGTCGGGGGAGAAAAGGATTGTCAGATCGACCCCTACGTGGTCCTTCTTGGAAACCATCGTAATAAATTCTAACTGCTGACAGCTAAAGGCTAACTGACCTGCTTTTTCATCCTCACCTATCATCCCTCACTGGAGCCTTGCAAGCGTATACCGTTAGCGCAGACAGGGTTACCATTCCATTACCATTTATTATAACTAGACGTTTTTTAACATCATCATCATCATATCAGCCTTGATCTGTCCTGACCAAACATAGGCCTACCTCATAGACTGCCATAAAGAGCGATCCTGGGCCAACTGCATCCACGGATTCCAAAAAACTGAACTTTATCGATTGAACTGATAGTATTATTTCCAACTGGAAAGGCACTCAGCTTGTATAACAGAAAGACGTGGGTTCGATTCCCACCGACGAGTTGTCAAACGAGTTGTCAAAAGTTATTTAATCAACCTATTCATAATTCAAAATGAACGAATTCAACATTATTTACAGGGCCGAACTTGAAAATAGTAGCAACGGCGTCAGCGGGATACAACCATTGTAATGTGGACGGTTTGAAGGCTCGAGGTATCAAATTGACGAACACTCCTGGGGTGCTGAGTGCAGCGGTAGCTGAGATTGCCATCACCCTGATGCTGGTAACAGCGAGGCGGTTCACTGAATGGTTGCAACAAGTGGAAAGGTATAACTTTATGCCATGCACATTTCTATTAACTTCCTAAAATTATTTCATTAACAATAAATTACATCAAAATTTGTTCAGTTTGTCTCCATAACAAAATGTTATCGATATCGGTTCAGGCGTAATCTTGGGAATGGAAAAAAACATCAGTCTTTCTTAGAATAAGTTTTAATAAATGGAAATAGAATAGTTACTTCCTCTGCAGTATTAGTTCACGCTGGCGAGATAGTAACAAATGATAGTTAGCCCATCTTGACGCATTCACCAGGAATCGACCACGATGATTTCTAAAAAGGAACAAATTGACCTTACACAGTTATTGCTAATTATCTTTTTCCTACTGTTATGCCATTTATATAAATTTTAAATTAATAATTTATTTATTTACAATTTATTTCAGTGGCAAATGGGTAAATGGTCTTGATAAATACCTTGGTCAGGACATACGCGGCAGTACTGTGGGCATCGTCGGTTTCGGAGGCATCGGTCAAGCTACTGCCAAACGCCTCGCTGGATTCGAGGTCGCCAGAATTATATACAGTGGCCACAGGGAAAAACCAGAAGGTGCGATATGTTCTTTTAAATAAACGTAATAGTTAATTTTAAATTCGGATTGTTTACAGATATTTCAAATTCACAATCGGGACTAAACGCGATGCGATTGTAGGCAATGGGTACCTACATAGGTACTTGATTTTTATTTCCGACGTTGTGAAATGCAGCAACATCGGCAATCAAAATCAGCTGTGTAGGTGGATTCAAATATATTATATTCATAATAATACTTAAAATAAATAGGTATATGGCAATTAAGCGTCATTAAAATTGTTGTGAATAGAAAGTTCAAACCATTCTAAACCGAGCAATAAACTAAATAGCAATTAAGTATTCTGGGTAGTCATCATCATATCAGTCTTTAACTGTCCACTGCTGAACATAGGCCTCCCCCTTGAGGGGGTTTGCCAGTAGTTGCCACGTTTGGCAGGCGGATTGGCAACTGCAGTCAAGCTTTAGAGATGTTTTAAGAGGGACGCTGCTGCCAATTCCTTGTCCTCCCTTAGTCGACTCTAACTACACCCACGTGTTAGGAAGGAGTGGCCTATTCTATGCCGGGACCACACGGCCAATTCTAGGTAATAGTAGGTATATATACAAATTAAAATGTAAAGATGCAAATACTATAGAAGACCTAAATACCTAAGCTTACCTAGAATAATCAGATAGACCGTGTGCTATTTGAAATTGGCGTAAAAGATAAGTTATCAAATTAGATAAAACAAATGTATAAAGGTCTTTGACACTGGTTTAAGGAAAAAATACCATAGATGTCCCAGTGTACTATACATCATCTATGATGTCATATTACAACTCCATCAAGTAGACCATTATTAGCTTGTCATAAAAAAAAATTGTAGACATTTTGGTGATTTGGTGATTCTGAAAAATATTCTGCATATCTGGTTTGGAATTGATAACCAAATAATAAGAAAATATCTATTCTTCAGGAAAAGCGCTAGGAGCCCAATTAGTGCCACAAGATGATTTGTTCCAACAAAGTGACTTCATCATTCTATCAGCGCCGCTCACCAACGAGACTAGGCACATGATCAACAGAAGCACCTTGGGAAAGATGAAGAAGAATGCCATTATAATCAATGTTGGTCGTGGAGGTAATAAATTACCTACTAAATTTGAAATGTATATAAATTACCTACTAAATTTTAAATGTATATAAATTACCTACTAAATTTTAAATGTATATAAATTACCTACTAAATTATAAATGTATATAAATTACCTACTAAATTTTAAATATATATAAATTACCTACTAAATTTTTGCCCGCAACTTCGTACGAGTGGATTTTAAAAGTATGAAAACCAATAAATTTCCCACTTCTAGATGGCTTATCAAGATAAAACATTTTTTTTATGCAACTTAGAATGGCAAACAAGCTGACGGCCCACCTGATGTAAAGTGGTAACCGTCACCTATAGACATGAGCAGCACCATGGACATAACAGAGTATACTGTTTCGCCCATGATACCCCCCATGCGTTGCCATTCCTGAGGACTCAAGTGTTATTCCTCTGTACCCAGTAAATTCACGCCATATCCCACCCTTCGAACCGAAACACAGCCATGCAAACACAACTGCTTCACGGTTGAAACACGAATGGGACAGAGGTACCCAAGCAATAGACTTTTGTACAAAGTCTCCCTCTGGTAGATATTGTAACTTACTACTCTATTACATAGTACTAACTATAGGTATAGAATGTACCTACAGTTTTATATAAGCCATATTAACCTTTAGAATAGAGTCAGACGTGACAAATATATATGTATGTATTAATTTTTAGATTTTGGCATTTCATGATTTATATTTTATAAGATTAAATTTTTAAACATCGAGATAAGTCAGGTAAATTATTATAGTTTATCTAAATGATCGTGTTAATTTACGACTTTTATAAAAGCCTTTATTCTAATAAAGATATTATTTTCGGTTTCAGATCTCATTGATCAGGAGGCTCTGTATGAAGCGCTCAAGAACAACGATATATACGCGGCAGGTCTGGACGTAACTACACCAGAACCACTGCCCGCTGACCACAAATTGTTAAAACTTCCTAATGTCTGTAAGTACTCCATTAAAAAAACATTAATTGATATTTAAATACTAGAAAATACAACCGACTTTATTCTAATAGTATATTAATAAAGCTAAGAGTAAATATGTATAATGCTTTATTTTACACATGACTATAATATAATAATAAATCACATGATCTTTTTTCGAAATATTGTTAAACAATAATTTCTAAATAATCTATTAACACAAAAACATTTTAATTCTAGTACTTGTTTATGCACTGATTAAAAAAAAATATACCAATGTTTTTATTAAATATGCTAAGTATAAATAAATGTATTTTTAAATTGTAGGTACCTTACATAGATAAATTAATAAAACTTTTTTAAAAAAAGCTTTAAGGTTATTTATTTCAAACATTACAAAAACATTTGTTTTGCTTGATTGTAGTACCTACTTAAAAAAAAAACATTACATATTGTTGTATTGTATTCCAGTCCTTTAATTTAAATATCCAGGCTTTTTTTAATATTTCAATTTTTTTTTATTTGCAACCAACTTTATTTTTTGTCCAGTTGTAACTCCACACATCGGCAGTGGTACAGAGCGCACACGCAACGAAATGGCCATCCTTGCGGCAAAGAATGTGATCAACGCTCTCACTGGAAAATCTCTCATCACGCCAGTGTTACCATGATTATATTAAAAGAAATCAAGACAATGAGATCCGTCAGTCGCTGCTTACACTTGGAGGCTTAAATACCCATAATAAGACTTGTATAACCCGCCGATGTAAATATACTAGTCCAGAAATACTACACCCTCAGTGTGAGTGGCCTATTAAATTCGACGGTTTATGCAAAGCAATTATGATTCAAATAAGGTGGGTTTTTCAACCCCCTAATAATAATATCAGAGCATGTATTCTTTATACTTAAAACAGGTAACAATAAAACATGCTTGTTAAATATAAAATAGTTTTTTAATTTTATTTTTAATAAAAATCCTTCACATAATAAGAATTTTGAATAAACATTTTTACTATGTACAAAATTAACGATACTTAACTGTAATAGCATCTGTTTTAATAATTAAACATTATCATTATGATTGGCTATTTGATGTAAGCAATTAATATCAGGTCTAAAATATAATTAAGACTCATTTATAAAACATTAATTTAATGTGCATATTGTAAATTCTTAATTTTTTCTTCTTCACATAGTTAATTTATAAAATGTTCTACACATTTTAAATTAACAATTCTAATTGATATACATTATCACATAAAGGAAATCATGAATTATGTAACCTAATATAAAAAATATGAACAAGATTACCCCAAGTACATTTGGGATGTTACAACCATGTTTCCAAATTGGTAACAGGGCATAAAAGTATGTGCATCTTTGATGTTGCCATTGAAATTGGTTGCATGGCACTACTAAAAGCTCACTCAGTCTCATAGCCTGCCACCTATCTGAAGAAATTATGTAAAAACATAGGAAAATTCCTCATGGCAGTCTAAGAATAAATTTATATATTAATTAAAATTAAGTCATTAGAACAGGCAATTAACCTGATCATATACATTTAAATATACATTTGGCTATTGTAATTATTATATTATGAAAAAATAATGTACTGTGTTTAAAATTTAATCTAAAAGCAATTTAATAATCTGTCTTAATCTGACTACTATATCTTTTAGTTAAATGGCAATAAAATATATGTGATAGTTACTAAAATTATAAAAAACTAAATGAAAATGACTCATGTATAGAACAGAATACACTAATTCAAACCCCATCTGCTTTGAAATTATATACAATAATAATTGAAAAATCATGTTTATATTATTAAAATGTTTCAAAAAAAGTTCAGTCATGTTTTGCAGATGACTCCTAAATTAAATAATAATTCTTAAAATATATATATAAAACTTATTAAAATTAAGGTGCATCAGCCACCACAGCTGCTAAATCCTTCAGGAATGGTTCAATTTGATTCTCAAGTGACAGTATGTGGCCAGTATTACAATTGTCGCTTCCTATAAATGTGATGACTAATGGTAACTTATTCATTTGTATAACCTGAAAGAATAAGAAATATGATTAAAATAACAATAAAACTAATAATACTTTAAATAGTTTATTAAACATAGTCAGAACCCCAATAACTATATTCATAGAAAAAAAAATCTATGAGAAATCACTTCCCACAACATCAGAAACATCACAAATTTGAAACAATACATTATGAGGTTATTACTTTAAATGATAAGGAAAAATATATGTCTTTGACCTAATGAGTTTGTAACATAGTGGCAGGCAACAAAATAAACAAACCTGATAACTTGAATACATAGAGATAATAGTCTTGTTCCTTCCCAACCCTAACTTGCTTGCCTGATCTGTGGCCATGCCGAAAGTCGATATAAAATTTGGCCGCAAAGCCAATTGTGGAGCTCTTTCTGTTACTGCTCTAACCAATGGAACTCCATCACGGTCCGTAATAATGATACAGTGCAGACCATTTACCCTGAAAAATAAACAGAAGTTGATCACTCTTGAATCGTTTATTTTCTCTATTAGATTATAATTTAAACGAAATATACTTCTCTAGTAAATGGTTCAGATATTTTCGCAAATCATCAACCATTTTTTATAATAACTAATAAAGAAAGATCCAATGTAAAATAAAAAATAAATCAAGAAATTTCAGATTTCATGAAAATTTAACATGACATATTCGAGGAAAACAACTGTCGATGTCAAACTCAAAAAAGCATGAATTGTGTCAAATGGTGTGTACTACAGACAGAGAATTTCATATTCTTAGTCTAAAAATTTCAACCAACTCGTATCAATATTAAGCACGTCTTAAAAAAATATTAAAATACAATAAATAACAAGCTTTACTTTTTGTTGAACAATAGAGCACACTATTTGAATATTCATATAAACAATATCAAAAAAGCTACATGAAAAGCTCAAATCAACTTTGCTATTTTATATTCCTACCAAAAAACGTAAATATATTCTACCAAAAAAAAAAATATTGGCAAGACATGATCCTAAAAAAATTAAAAAGTCTATAGCCAAAATGGCAGAAATGGATTGACAGCTTTCGCGATTTTCGTAATTTATTTTTGGGTACTATTATTAATGTCTTTGTACTTTTTAGGCGTCATTTGTGCTACTATTTATGGTTCTAAGTAAAACTTAGTATGGTATAAACAAAATAATATTCAATCGTTACACAGAATTATGTTGCAACTTCTCGAAAAATAGCTTTGGTATGATAACAAAAGATTTAAAATTTGTGTCTTGACTTCTTAGTTTAAGTTTTTCATCACATGTGTACCTCTAGGAGTATTAAGTCATGAATATAAATAATCGTGAAAGTTTCGGTATGTATACGTAACTCTATAGAATCGAGATTTTTTGGTTTGTGACGTCACAGTCTGACTTATTTACAGTGTGAATTATGGTATCAAAGATGTTATTTTGTTTTTATTAGTACGCGGAATTCTATTAAGTGCAACCTGGTGCGCGTACAATTAGCTACGTAGCGGTGGGCTCCCGCTAGGATGGGCGGCGATGTCTGCCCCCTCCGAGAGTGCTACGAGCCCCTCACCGTGTGCATGCACTAACATATCGCTTATGCAATTGTTTCATGAGCTAAAGCAGAAATTTCCTGGCGTTCCTGATCATGTTGTGTCCAACACCATCGAACTGTACTGCCACGACAAGCAAGCCTGTGAAACACATCTCCATAAAGAAGTCAAGGCCTCCCTAACACATGCATATCATGCATCATCGTCAGCAGCAGCTCGGCAGCTTAATGAACTCAAACTCAACCCTCCTGGCAAATGTCGTAATCAGCCTATAATCAAGCATGAGATTACTAGATCTACACCAGTAAAATCTATATCTTGTCAAGGGCCACAAACTGCAGTTTTAAGTTCTCCTGTTCTTGCAAATGATGTGGAAAAGAAATTAAACACTGATGCCAATCAGAATGTTGTAGAACATACTTCTAATCAAGTGAAAGAAAGTAATGACATTGCAAGTCCAGTAACAGTTATAAATATTGACAAATGTGCAAAATACAATGTTGAATCACCGAGTGATATCGAATTGACTAATGAAAGTCCAAAAGAAAGTTTGAGTGCACCACAAGAGAACGATTTTGATCCATCAGAGAGCATAAACTATAAAATACACAAGAGTAACAAAATAAGAAGTAACTTGAATGAGAGGCTACAAGTGCCACGGGAGAAAGCAAAAAGGCCGAACACACTTGACTTTATTAAACCAAACCCAGATATTGCATTTAAACAAACGCTGAGAGAGCCAGAACCTGAAGTGAGCCGGACAGTCTCTCCTGTGCCACCGAAACATGAAAGCCAACCAAAGGATAACAACACTAGTGCTTCTTACAGAACTGAAAGAGGTTACCCTGTGAATTTATCAGTAAATGTAAATTGTCATATGGACTTGAGTCGTTATGATGACCTGTGGCTAGAAGATTATGATAGTCCTAGAGCTATAACATCAGTAAATTTGACTGTGTGTACCCCTACTTCAAATATGGCTAGTCCAGTGAGGGAGACGCAAGAAAATGATGGGGGCTTTGGGGGGCATGTCACAGTGACTGTGAGTCCAAGTACAACACGGCCAACCCGGCGTAAGGCTCCACCACCTCCACCACCCTCTCAGTCCTCACGGATAAATTCACCAAGGCCTTCCAGGGTCGCTCCTGAACCACCGGGATCAACAACACAGGGTGAGTATCTCTCCAATAATTTTCATTTTCTCATCATCAGGCAGTTTCAGAATAACCTTAAATTTTGAAACTCTGCTTCACTTTTCTATATGATAAAGTATATTTTTTACTAATACATATGACACTATATTATATATTGTAACAAAGAGTGAAATAAAGATTTATTATTATATTACATATCATGGTGCAGTGGAAAGTAAACATGTAATATGGATTACCATATGTCATTCTATTCTATTTCTTGGTCATCCTCATCTTCCTTCTAAGTTACTTTTGTAAAATTGTCCCTTAGTACATTTCTTATTTAATATGATGACAAGTACTCAACAGAATATCTGTCCCTCGAGTATGTAATTATTAAAATTAAATTTATACTTGAATTAAACAACATAGGGTAATTGTAAATAAACAATAATTCATACTTTGTATAAAAAAAAAAATATTGTTTTGATTTAAAATTAAATTCATTTCAAATTAATACAGATTCATATTTTTCTAAAGAAAAAGGTCAAAGTCTTACATTGCATGCAACAATTGTAGCAAATTTTATTAACATATCTCAGTTCTTCTGATTATACCATTTATCTATTTACTGATGATAAATCTAAAAGATGGGTAATTACATTTTAATAGCTACAAATTACATATTAAGTTAGACTCATTTAATAATAAAATCCAATTTTGTAACTCCTCTTCTCACCACCATATTCATATTGAATTAAATGAATCCAATAATAATGGAATGAATGAGAGATCATTGAATATATCAGAATATTAAAGTATTGTTTTAAAAAAATTTGATTTACTTCTTGTCTGTATGTGAACCTTACTGATTTCTATCAAATGGGTCTTTTTTTAACATGTTGCATAAAAAAACTATTCATTACCCTCTAAGAATAAAATTAACTATAGTTTAACCTTATTTGATGGGGGAGGGGAGGATTGTTACTAATGGGAAAATTAGTTGCCGTTGCTATCAATATAGGGTATCTTGATATATCCTATATTGTTCGGATCAGGTTGACCTCCAAGCAGTTCCTCCTGGAAATTATTGACTAATTTATCATTGAATTTATCAGGATGGGCTAACTGACTTGCCTTTTCCTCCTCACCTCTCACTGGTAACCCACCAGTGTATACCAATGGCGCGGGCCGGATTACCATGCCATTTTCACCCATTAAAAAAACCTTATTTGACCTGAATGAATATAATTTAAGAAATTGATGCTACCTCCTTCTACACTTATGTAGTAGTATTTAAAACTCAGAGGCATTTGTTGACTATTACCATTGTACACGAGGAATGTCCACATTTTATTAAGCAGGTATATAAGAATCCAATGTGGCAAGGGGCGAACCTACTGCCATCACGTGATTATTTTGATTTGTTATTGATATTTTTCTCAACTGAAATATAGTCACAAATTTAAATTTTTGTTGTCTACCAGATTTTAACTCAAAATATTATCACCATCATCATATCAACCATTATCCGTCCACTGCTGGACATAAGCCTCCCCCATCGACTCCCATAAAGAACGGTCCTGAACCACCTGCATCCACTGACTCCTTGCAATGCATTTCAAGTCGTCACTCCATGTAGTAGGGGGTCGTCATACACTGCGTTTGCCCGTACGCGGTCGCCACTCAAGAACCTTTCTTCCCCATCGGTATATCATATTTAATTAATTTTTACATATTTCCAGACCGTTCCCTAATCGAGCGGCAAAAGGAAAGGCGAGATCGTTTAGCCAAAGCCCTGGAGCAGGAGAAGCGACGGCTGGCGCAGCTAACGCGGGAGACTGCGATCTTAGCCGCGCCGCCGCCGCCGCCATCCGCTGCTCAAGCACTGCGGGACTACGTACAGCACTTGCGTAACCAATGCGACATGCTGTCGAAGAAACTCGAAATGAGAAGTAGTGGTATGTATTTTTTTTTTTATGTATGATAATGGAATGGTTACCCCGCTTCTATCTATCTATCTTATTTAAGAGCTGCGCTCTTGTCGGTGGAGCTCTTGCCACTCACTACGAATTTCAGCGAGTCTCTTCACCTCTTGACTTTTCTCTTTTACGACACGACACCAACTCTTTCCTTGATCTGCCTGATGTAACTATGTCTCGGTCTCCGTCTCCCCCTCCTTCCTTCTATCTTACCTTCTATTATAATGTTCATAAGTTCGTCGTGTCGTGTCAAGTGTTCCAACATTTTTTTCCTTCTGTACTCAATAGTTTTTATAATTTGTCCCTTTTCCTTAACCTTAAGCAGGACCTCATTATTAATATCCCGCTTATGCTGTCGTTATAAGCTGGCGGGGCACCAGTGATAGATGATTGGTGAGGGTGAAGGCAAGTCAGTTGGCCCATCGTGAAAAATTCAAAAATAATAACCATGATGGTTCCCAGGGGGGCCGCGTGGAGGTCGACCCGATAGAGTATATTGCTAACAATGAAGCTATTAGAACCCATTACTAACCTCAAAATCCTTCCCCCCAATGGTATGTATTAGACACGCTCCATTGTTTTGATAAAATCACGTGTGATTATATGTAAACACTTGTGACCTTGCCATGTTATTCAAATATGGCTCGGCATTAGTGTATATTGTATTATAGAAACTGTACAATGAAACTAGTAGATAATTATACAGAATGTAGTAGAAATCATTTGCATCTTTTTAAGACAGTTTTCTCTAAATAAAACATTTTTTTTTTTTCAAACAAATATAAGTTGTTAAGCAACAAAATGTTTGAGCCCTCACATTAACATGTCGCATCCAACTGTTAACATGGAAGGTTGGAAGTCTCAAATTTTTTTGTCATTTTTCGGCACGTGGTTTTATGTAACTACAGGTTTACTGGCAGAACATCATATCAGCTATTACCTATCCACTGCTGATCATAGGCTTCCCTCTGTTGAGGAATTTTTTTTTTTGATGGGTGAAAATGGTATGGTAACCCCGCCTGCGCTAACGGGATACGCTGGCGGAGCACCAGTGAAGGGTGATAGATGAGAATGAAAACAGGCCAGTTAGCCCATTATGATGAATTCATCAGGAATTAACCATGATAGTTTCCAGGGAGAACCGCGTGGAGGTCGACCTAGTTGGGTACATTGCTAGCAATGGGATTCTCAGTCTCCATTACTAACAATCCCATTCCCCCCTGTTGAGGAGTATTGCTAGTAATTACCACGCTTAACAGGCGGATTGGCAAACGCAGTTAAACTTGGGTGATGTTTAAAGAGTAATGCTGCGTCCCATACCCCGATTATTGAGTCTCCTTAGTCGCATCTTACGACACCCATGTGAAAGGAAGGGATGGCCCATTCTATGCCGGGACCATACAGCTATTTTTTTTTATACAACTTAGAATGGCAAACAAGCTGACGGCCCACCTGATGAAAAGTGGTAACCGTCGCCTATAGACATGAGCAGTACCATGGACAAAACAGAGTAAACTGTTACGTCCATGATTGTGCGTGCGTTGCCATTCCTGAGGACTCAGGTGTTATTCCTCTGTACCCAGTAAATTCACGCCATATCCCACCCTTTAAACCGAAACACAGCCATGCAAACACAACTGCTTCACGGATGAAACACGAATGGGACAGAGGTACCCAAGCAATCGACTTTTCTACAAAGTCTCCCTTTATATACCTTACTAATATTATAAATGTGAAAGTGAGTTTGTTTGTTACCTAATAGCGTCATAACAGCTTAACCAATCACTATGAAATTTGGTATAAACATACTATATAGAATGGAGATAGATATAGGATTTTTATCACTATCACGTAGATGAAGTCGCAGGTAAAAGCTAGTGCTTTTACCCACGTCTTTATTCGTACTTGCTAAACTTATTTATTCCATGTACTAGGGATTCAGGAAACCCCTTGTATGTATCCCATTTGGTCAATATACCGATATATTTAAAGTGGCCATACTTTCGCATTTGGCTTAAATGTTATAAAAATATTTGTGAATAAATTCGCAGGAAATAAACAGCTCGTTTTCCTGTTACAATCGTATAAAGATAATTTCTTGCGTGTTGATCCATGGGTACATATAGGTGTCATTCGGCGGCGCCTGTTACATGTTATCACTGTTTGGTATCTGTTATCAAACCTTAATGGCGACATGATAAATTTCAAAGTAGATGTATACATAGTTCTACAGCATCCGTTGTTATCATTTCCTTTCATAAAACTTATACAAAAAATATAACTACCCTCGTTATCATAAAAATGCCAAAGGTTCAATAAAACTATCTCAGCTATTGATATTATATTATATATTACATATTTTGTATTTTTCTTTTGCTCTAAATTTTCAATTTGAAAGTGACAAAACACCCTTTTAGATAAAATAAGTTTGTATAAGTTTTTAGTTTTTATAAAGGACTTCTTACATCTACACTTTTATTTATGGTTAACCAGCTTTTGCTCTCGACTTTGTCTGCGTGACCAGGATATATTTACTGACTGTGATAAAAAGTAACCTGTATCCTTCTCTATTCCATATAATACGTTTATACCAAATTTCATAGTGATTGGTTAAATATATATATCCAATCTTGTATTTTTTTTTTACAATGTTGTAATATGTAAGAATAAAGATCTTTGGCACTCGGTTCTCTCTGCTTAACTTGTAAGAATTTTGGCGTAAAATATAGATACTTATAATAGCAATCAAGCTAATGCCTCGCCTGATGGATAGCAATCACAGTCTTCAATAGACACGAACAAAACCTTAGACGAATTGGCAACCATAGTTAGGCTTTGGTGATGTTCCAAGAGGGATGTCACTGCCCATTTCTCGACTTTAATGGTCGAGTTCCCTTATTCATCTCTATGACACTCACGAGAAAGGAAGGAATGGTCTATTCTGTACTGGGACCACACGGCAGGATTAAGCAATAAACAGTCCAATATATTTACGAAAGTTTGTATAAACATTTATAATATTAGAAAATGTTCTTCCCTAAGGTTAACTGGGAGAGAATGCTTTTAGCATTAAGTTCGCCATGAACACATATTTGTACGAATGAATAAATAAAAATAAATAAATAAATATTCCAGAGGCGGACGACACGGGCAACTTCTACAACAACATATACACCGGGCAACGGCCGTCGTCGTACTGGCAGTGCCACATGTGCACCTTCAGGAACTTCCCGCTGCTCAACCGCTGCGAGGAGTGCGACATGCCGCGTATATACGTAGGTACGTCCGACGCCGCCCACGACTCGGGCCTCGGCTCCCTCCAGGCCCTCCAACGCGAGGTCCAAGACCTCGAGGTACCACACCGGTCGGTCATGCCTTATCCAAAACTATTAATGTGATCCCTAGTTCCTCTAATGCCTTAAACAGTGCCTAAAAGACAGTGAAAGTGTTCTTGAAGTGTTCATACGAGGCTATTTGGACGTATATATGCTTTCGTTTAACCCTAGCATGTCGGCATGCGGACGTTTCAAATTAACTTGAAAGGATATACCAATGATGTTCTGGACATTTTTGCCTGTTGGTATCCCTACATGCGTTTTGTTGTTACGTACTTATTGATATACTTCTTGCATGTGTGTTAGTGTTGAATTTATATTTGACTTTATTAACACTATTTCTCAAGTGTGGTGCGGACAGAGAACAAATTTTTAATTGTGTTACGCCATACGGGCTATAGATATTTTTTGAATTATATTTGGCGCCAAAAGAAGAGATTTAGTTAATTATTACATAAAAATATTCCGAATATAATTAGATTGTAGGGTGTAAAAGTGGACCCATTAAAACAAATTGTTAGGTTGGTAGCGACACAATGACTGAACAAAATAATCAATAATGAAAACATTAGCCGAGAAATATCTTGCGCTTTATAATCTCTTAGATTTGAAGGCTGTTTACTTAAAATTTAATGCAATATATGTACATAATGTTAGAAGGATATCACAATTAATTCCTATATTGGAGAAAGCCACATCGTGCCTCCTGTAAATATGTTCTTATTACGTTGTTATAGATAATTATTTAAATTTACGTTAGACATGTGATTGTTGAAAATATTAGGTTAATTGATATTTAATATAAAGATGTATTTATTGTTTTAAATTAAGCAAACATACATCACTTGTTGTCTTGGTGAACGCGGGGCATCACAAGATCTCATGTAAAGACTAAACGCTCCTTGCCAAAAAAATGTTTCTTTACAAATTAATTTATTGATTGTTTAAAAAGAGTTGTATAATCCGTGTGATTGTTAAAATTGCTCAAATTCATCATCTCATTTTAATGTTCGGTGATAAAGTGATGATCGATTCATTCGTTATCACAAAAAGCGGTTCTAAATACTTAATAGTTCAAGAATACATTAGACAAATATAAATATTCCAACATAAAGGAATTTTATTTTTCCTGAAGCAATCAAGAAGGTAACCCGCATTAGCGATACATCTAATGTTTCTCATTAATCAATGTGTTCTAAATTTTTTTTTTTTATTCTCTAACTGAGGTCTATGAACCGTGACGCTCAAAGTGAAACTGAAATTATGAATCAGTCGATCTAATTAACTAATATTTTTTCCAATATCAAACATTTCGTTGACTACTTAAGTTACGTTTTAGTAATTTTTTTATCGTTCAATTCTCTACCACCAGCACCAAGTTATATGGCACGGAGTATAGAAAAAAAAGAGAGATATCACAAACCTAGTTCATAATCTACGATATTCCACCAACGTTATTTTTTTATAGAATAATTAAAAATATACAATGATACAGTTTACTTTTTTCTTTTTACATACACATAATCGCTTTCATGTTAAATTTATTTTATTCCTAATTACATAGGTACTTAAATTTATTACAAGATGGCGGTTTGCTATCAAATATTATAAAAACGCAATCGAATTTAACTGTGATAGGGTAAGGCGATTTTTACAGTCTTCATTTCATAATAAAATGCTGTTATAGAGGGAAATATTTCATAATTTATACATCTATAGTATAAATTGATACCACAATGTGATACAGGTTTAGCTAGCAATAATATATAGTGTAACGGAAAAGCTATTGGATGTCACGGATAAGTACAATTTACATTCAACGGTGTGCTTGAGCGCATTTTACGTTACGGTATTTTTTTCTGTTTATCTCTCGGCTGCGAACGCAATTTTCGACTAGCTGAACTCGGTTGCCATTGAGTTTGATCTGATCTGCTGAGTTTAGATTTTTATTAACTGAATACTGAAGAAGACACTACAGGATGGGGGATGTAAAACCTTATCAACCGCGTATCAACGCTCGCAAGCGTATATTCTACTTCATATAGACGTGTTTAACTGTCGACTCTGCGCGCATACACTGAAATGCACTCAAACACCTATCGTTCGGTGCAAATCGTGCTTAAATTAAATTAAAAAAAAAAACTGCGTGGTCAAATAATTCATTTTACACTTACGATTTCAATAGTGTTTTTTATGTCGATGCCGACCACGTCTCTTAGTGAGGATTATTTAGGTTCTTAACATTTATTGTTCTAAATTTAAATTTTATTTCGTATTGTTATAATTTTTCTGTTACACTTTGTATATTATTAATCTGTTATAAATGAAAATTAGTATGCAATTTTAAATACCTGCTTTTACCGCACAAGTTTTCATGTGGATGAACTTAGCAGTCAACACCGAATTTTTATACGATAACTGCTTTAAACAATTTCAAACTCGTTGACATTTGTAGCTATTATGAAATGTGATCATTTTTATGTATGTTTTGAGATTCAATAAATCATTTATTAGCCAATATTTTTTTTTTTACTCTCAAAAACCTTAGTAAATTGATAAAATGGTGGGTAGTCACCAATATGAGAGCTAAGCCTAATTAACAAGGTAAAGAAGATCCCGTCTGAAGCAAAGCTTTGCAATGAGCCTGATACCCCTGTGTATGTCCCACTCGAGGTAAGTTTCGTTTTGGCTCCTATTAATACAGTAACAGTTGTTGTATGCTGTGGTATTTTTCTATTGAAAGCATTCTGGCGTATTGACAGTGACATCAAAAAAAAACAAGCAAGTCCATTCCTCGATTGTTTTTTTAAAACATAATTTTCTACAGTAGGAGGCAATTTTGAATTTTCGTTAAATTATGTCACTGTGGACACGCCTTTACTGTACTACCACGTTTATAATTACCTACGATTACTTGCGCATTTGTTTTTATTTTACGAAAAACTATAAGTTAATTTTATTTTGTAACGGTCATTGGTCGATTTCTTTCGGATCATCGATCAAGACCGCCATTTTGTAGTAAGTAAATAATGTTCAATTTTCAACCTTATAAAGAAGGTAGTAAGATTTATATTCAATTGTGTTTTATAAATGTTTTGATTCAATGTTTATTTCCACACGAAATCGTCGAAGTGACTTATAAGCGTGGGAGACATTATACAAAATATATAAGATATCAAATGTAGTTAAATACTTTTTATTTCCATACAGTTCGGGCACAAGACGGAATAACAGTACGACTAATGCCAGGACGACGGAGTAAGTATATAAATATTAATTGAGATCCCCTGACACGACAATTGGCAACGAATTGGCTCTAATCATTTCTAAATTGCATTTCAGACCTAACGAGATCGTGGGTGTTATGAAACGGGCGGAGTCGGGTGACTAGCCTATCTTAAGTGCAGTAGTATGTAGATATCAACGGATCTGTGATATTCGCATTTGGTTGTTATAATTTAAAAGTCTATTATTTTTTATTTACACATTCCAAAAAAAACTGTTTTATTTGATGATTTTTTTTTTAATATTTAACGTTGTCTCTCCCGTATTCACACTGAGTGCTTTGTCGTGCCAAATGCGAATAACCTTCGGTTATTTACACTGCTGCACTTAAGGTGGATAGGGAAGTTGTTACCATTATTAGGAAATGAGTCTCTATATTATATGTTATCATGCAGTTACCTCTAGAACTAGAAAAAAAAACTAAGTCTGTATTGTAACAATTCTGCCATTTGGCTATAATCCCTTTTATATATCGAACGAAAATGGACAACGTATTACGTAACTTTAACTTTCAGTAGATGTGTACCTTAATATTTTTTTAAAATTTGAATATCATCATTATTTGTAGACGTAAAATCTCTAATACGGTATATCTGTACAAGTTAATCGCTGTTAATAATATAAAAAATTTACTTGCTAAAAAGTTTTTTAATAAAAAAAAATATTTCGACTCGAATAAAGTCCGAACCTATAGACTAAACATGTAAGTATAAATACGATGTAAAATCATTTTTAAAATACACATTATGCTATGTGTAATTTATTTATTTAAATAAATAAATAAATAAATTACACATAGCTAAGTACAGCATCGAAATAAAGTACCTATCAAAAAAATTTTTACTTACATTTCATCAAATTTTACTCCATTTAAACTGTTCTATCTAACTACCTAGGTTTGGTATTATAAACACATGTTTATAATACTAAATTTGGTAAAAATTATAAATCACGATTTTAACCGATTTTGATTAGAGAAAATAACTTGAGAGACTGATGAATGATATGACATCACCAAAAATATTATCTGCAATGAAGTCCTTAAGAGTTTATAGACCCAGGTATCTTATAGTTGCTAGATGTATTATGAAAGTCAAGCCATTGATTTCCGAAAGTAAATAATACATGTCGAGGACCATAGGCACACGTCGAAACGGACAAGCAATAATATAGGTATAGTTTAACAAAAGTAGGTACTTATTCGTAATAAAAAAAAAATCTATTACTAAAATTTTATACATACAGCGTTTATAAATATATCTTTTATCATTCGAAGTAAAGGAAAACTTTATAGAAAGGGTTTTATAAAGAAGTAAGGACTTCACTATGTCTATATTCACGTCAAATTGCTTATAAGGAAAACGGAAAAACAATTTTTATTGTAAAATTTTTACTTACGTTTGCTGACTCAAGATTGTCCTTCGTCCGATACCAATCGCACTCGACTCTGACACAAGTCAGTGAAGATATAAACGACCGACCCGACTATGCTTCCTTTTTTATTTTTTATCATAAACTGTTTCCAGTAATCGATTATACAGAAAACAATATTCGAATAAACAGTTAATAATTTTTTATGGCAACACAATATAGAATGTACCAACATAAGCCTTCCATTAACCTTCCTTTAACCTTGGCCTTAACATTCCCAAAAGGAGGATTTGGCCAATAATTGCCACGCTTCACAGTGGGAACTTTAACTCCTTTTCATCTCATAAATCTATAACTTCCGTATTAATAAAGATATGTACATGATTTTTTTTCCTGATAATCTTAAATATATATGCTTTTAAATTATGTATGCGTTGTGAGTAAAAATTTATTTCTAATAGTTATAAATAATATAGGAATACAAGAAATATAAAATTTGTAGGCTTACATTTATGTCCTAAGAAATTAATACAGGAATAAGTAAAAGTATCTGCGTAAAAAACAAAAACTCTTATAAAGATAACTTAGAAGTCACTCAAGAGCTCCTTTACTTCATCAAAAAGTTCTAAATATTTTTTATTGGAAGGTTTTCTTAAACTTGTATGTATGGGTCAGAGGTATATAAAAGTGCGTGTAGAACATCTTCGTTAGTGGCTACCCTCGAACATTGTCTTGCATGATGAAGCCTGAACTGTTTATAGTCTTTGTTCCGTGACTCTTGATCATCTTCTAAAAGTTGCCCAAAAGGCAAGACAGAAAAGTAACGTATCACACTTTCACAATGAATCAACACCTTGTGATTTTGCGGATAGCAAGATTCTGTAACTTCACGAATCAACTTGTATGATGGAAACAATAAGCAATTCTTTGCTATCAAACAACTCATCATATTTTCTTACTGTGCCTTGTTCAGATCCAATTCTACAAAAATGCTAAGATCTTCATCTTTTGAATATGCTGTTATATTTGTCGGTTCATTAAGAAAATTACTGCGTATTTCACTCTTTTTTTCTGACGGCCATGCTCGTAAAATATCAACGATGAATGCTTCATCTACTTCACCACGTGACCTTAAACCCTGTAAACATATGAGTTCAGTATGAAATCAAGTCCATAGGTATCAAGCAGTCCCTTGTTTTTCCGTTTCTTTGTACTCTCTGAACTGTCATTGTATCTTTTAGAAGGTCTTCCTCTTTTCTCTGTCGAAGTAGTAGGTTCAGGTTCGCATGTTGTTTTTTCTAGATTTACAGTGAAAATGACATTAAACCAATTGCTATTTTGATTTAAAAACTGTTCTTTCTTTCGACCACATTTCGTATAGCGTTGACGAAACTGAGTTATGAAGGACTTCTAAATACTTGCGAATATAGCAAAAATTCTATATTCGCATCTGAAGATTCGGTAATATTATTTCGTACATAGTTTGAGATATAATCAATATAATTTGTATCACTTTCAACAATAAGAGACTTAAGTCGCGTCCGGTACACGAGACTTCACTTATTGCGGAGAGATAAGTAATTAACAATTGTTTAGAAATAACAAATGCTTATAAAGAACTGTAATATTTCATATGTAAATGCACTATTTTATACTTAATAATGATCATAGACGTGTGCAAAATTACTTCATTTAAAAAATTCATCATTATGCGGTTATGCGGTAAAGAATAGGTCTGTATGGAAATGGGAACTAAATACTATGTGAAATACTTGTTAAAAGTAACGCAAAAGATAAAATATAAAGTAATAATTGAGACAAAAGTATTTTTTTGAGTGTCCAGACAGATAATCTCAAATAAAGAAAAAAATCTTAATATACGTACTTAGAAAAAAACATTCTCACCATGATATTATACTAGATTTAAATATATTACGCAGTAAAACTGCAAAAAAAAAATCTTTTGCCCTCAAATTACATTATATTTCCTAATAAATTAAACCAAAATTAGAACTTCGGCAAGCTTCGGCAACTGTCAAATCTCCAACTGAAAGTTTGAGAAAAGAAAATAATACATATAACGATATATGGTTCTTTGGTTAAGTAATATTGTACTAAACTAAATATATTTTTATTTTATAGTAAAGTACACATTCTAAGCATTTTAAAATGGTATCACACTATATGACTTCTATTGTTTTGATACTATAAAATTATACCAAACGAAATTTAAGTTTCATAATTATTTTTGTATTTTTTTCATTCCTTGACTTTAGATGCTCTGTTCTATGAAGTATGAACAGTGACAGATTTGAATCATACTTATAATGATAGAGTAACTCTTTAGCTACAATTTGAGGTATTATACATGCATATCCACAGAGTTTTAGAAAAAGTATTTATGAGATGGCTTTCTTAGGAGAGTTCCCACTGTGCGCTTGGCAGGCGGATTAACAGTCCGACTTTGGTGATGTTGTAGAGGGATGCTGCTGCCCATCCTTCAACCATAAAATCTTGATACTCTTTATTGCTCATATAATAATAACAGATTCCACTTTAATAAAATATAAACATAATCTGAAGGTTTATGACTCCATAAAAATGCCAATGTATATATGCTTAACACGCTCGTAATAAACGTTTCTTTACATAGTTAAGTATTATCAAAGTTAATAGGCTAGTTAGATGTTTATGAAGAAATATTGCAATATTTTATTAAAAATAGCAACAACCATATCACGGTGGTATCGATTTTTGATACCGTTATACCGTTCTATGAACGTCTTCAATTACGCATTACCGCACCTGAAGAAACTTTCAACGCTCTTTTTGAAGACTCTTGGAAAAACCGTTATGCAATGATTTCGTTCCATAACCTAACCTTTCGCGTTCAAATGCGCTGTAGGCTTAGATAGAGTCAATAAGAAATTAAAAAATTTAAATAAAATTAAATTTTATGCGATAAGTACCTATTTTTATTTTTCTAAAATATCTAATTTATAAATATTCATTTACAAATGTGACCGATTTATCAACATACAGCATAATCTACTGACTAAACAAATATATCAAAAAATTTTACAAAAACGTAAAACGTACAAAACCTGGCCATGAGAATCTTAAACTTATTGTTCAAATAAGGGATATTCATCATTATAAGTCTATTCTAGTTTACTCCGCTAGTACTATTTGGGTGATATGTTTATATCCTTTTATACTAGGTATCTCGCATTAATTACTTATTTACTGCAGTAATTTTTTTTTTTATATTATAAACATAGTACTAGCCAAATTGCTATTTTGTATAAGTTGGTGTAACTGTCATGTATGGAGAAGTAGAAATGTAATGATACCTATTTTATTCACATATTTTAATTGAAATTATATGAACTGTATCTGTCCATACATTTTTTATCTAAATTTCAATTACTCAAAATTTACAAAACCCTCCTATATTAACTTAAATATTTTTTGACAAAATATACCTATGTGTGTACGTACTAGCTATGCAATATATTATTATAATGTAAGCTTTAATTCACATAATATGTAAATTTTTGCATATAGAGACTGGTAAATTCAATATCCAGGACCAATCTAATCAATTAAACCAGAACACTTTTAACTGCTAAGTCAGAGTTGGTGCTTGTGCGCATCTCTATTGACTAAGTCGTATGCACAATCGTTTGATCATACATAAAATCCGCAAAGCATGTGCGAACCGTCTCACTAGGCAAGTTCATGCATGTCCGTACGACAGTGCTCACGATAACGCGAGTCCATACATTTTACTTATTTTCAAATAAATAATTTGTTTCGTTACGACTTATGATACAAATAAATTACCATTATCTACATACAATCAAATTAAAATAAATATATTTAAATTGTTTTTTATTTTAAACACTCCAAGGAAAATCAGCTTTATTAATACTTTCGAAATAAAATAAATAGCCTATTACAAAGGTTTATAAAGGTAATTGACTACCTATGTGAAGTTAATATTTAAAAAAAAAATCCTTGCACATTACAAGAACCCGAAGCTGTTCTTTTATTACTATGTCCGAACATCATGTAAAAATTAGAAAAAATATTTTAAAAAGGGCCTAAATAAAATGTATGGACTCACAATTGTACGGGATCGCAATGAGTACTAGTGTGTTGGTCACTCCGACTTGCGTCGTGAGTCTTGTCGTAAAGAAGACTCGCCGAGCGAGTTCTCAGCAGTTAAAGTTTAAAAAACTGTATACGTGTCTAAAACCTTATATTTTTTGTATATTACGCGATGGCTTCGCCATTTGTAAACCGATTCTAATAACTCTTTATGCAATTGATAGTGCCGTATTGTCCCGCATCCACACAACATATTCCCCAACAGAAGTCGCTGTCTTATTTGAGCAATAAAATCTTAAATAATTGTGTATTAAGTTTTTATATATTAAATTAAAACAACAAAACGGACTTACAATCATTAATTTCTAAAAGGGATATCAAATGTCAAAGAAACACTGTGATTTCTAGTCGAAGCTCCGAACTTCACATTTATTGCGTATGTATTAAGTATAAGCATTTCTTTGTATAAAACTTGAAATTTATGCTCACTTATTGTACATATTTATATCTATTTACAACTGAATATTTCTATGTATAAAATAAAAAATAATTATAAGCAGAACTATGATAAGTACCCAGGAAAAAATATAACAATTCTTCAATTATTCCATTACATCTAAAATATTATTATAATATTTAACTTAGACAACTAGTAATTTGTTTTACCTAGTTTTCTTCAGATTCAATAGGTAATGGTAATATTTTTAGATAGAGATACATCTATTATACTTTGTCCAATCGTCTCTTTCTAAAAACAGTATGTACTTATTGAAATGTTATATATGTAAACTTTAAATTGTAAGTCAATTATAATTTTAATAGAAAAATAGTTCTCTTTTATAAAATGGCAAGTTAAGGAATTTTGTGATGAAATTAAAAAAATATTATTATAAAATTGAATCATAACTATTCTTAGTTCAGCTTATGGCTATTTAATATTTACAAAGTATTTGTGCAAGTTATTATAATTTTACAGTAACAACACATTTTAAATGTATTTGCCTTGTTAGTTTCAAACTTTTTTTTTTTTAATTTACCATTTTCACAGCATGAACCAATTGTTTATGGTTACATTACAAAACACACATGAAATGTGTTTTACAATTATAATGTAATGAGACTTTGGAACTTGTACAAAATAATTAAGAAATTGTAAAATTTTGTATTCATTATAGTGCTTTTATATTTAGTATGTATTATGTAAAATATATATGGTTTACTATTTTGTTTAATCAGCACATTTATCAAAATAAACTTGTTATCGAAATTTGTTTAACACATTTGTTTCAATTTTCCCTCTCATAATAAGTAAATAGAATGTACTCATTAAAAACAAATTAGCAATTTTTTTTAATTATTACATCAACTTTACATACATAGTCATCATGTAACCAATAATACTCTCATGATTAAGACAAATTTGACAAGACCTTATTTACTTAATAAAATCCATCAAGTTGTATACATTCTCAACCATTATCCTTCTGTCTTCAGCGATCAAATATTTACAACTAAATAATAAATTCTAAAATGCTATTAAATTATATTGCCTTCCGTAAACATAGAACAGTTTATTTGTTATATGCTGTTTTTACCAAATTTTACATTATTATGTGAAATAATAATATAATATATAATATAATATAAAATAGAATAGCATTTTATTTAAATTGAACACATTATATTTTCACCAAGATAAAGGTATTTTTATTAGTTATTCCAAAGGCAAGTTGCAGTTTATATCAGTAAATGTTCTGTAAGGAACAAGTGCCCTGAAGTATTTCAAGCTTCATTCTTTACCATTTATTATATGTATTGTATGAACATATGTGGTAATCAAGCATACAGGCGCAGTCTAATGTTAATGACTATCACTTATAACACCATAACTGTCTTATAGTTCTTTTAATATAGTCTATAAACAATGGAGCTTCACAGCTGTTGTGCATCCATTTGTTACACAATACGTCTTTATACCTGTATTAGTGTTTACAACTGCAAATGTAATACAAAACTTCACCATCTAAATAGCAGTACCTCTTTCCAAATTCTGTTTAATTTCAGCTGTATGCTCTCCATAAAACCTTTCCAATTTTTTATTAAATTTAGCATTCCGTTCATTAATATAATCAATGTCGGCATCATCATTGTGAATACGTCTCCGTGAGTACTTCGCTCTCTTTGCAATTTGACCTTCCAAGTCATCTACCATTTTGTCCACAGCTTCCTTTCGGTCTTCATGCATGCCATGTATAATAACATTCGGTCCTCCGTAGAAAGCATCTCCATATTTATCCTTTTGTCTCTGATACTGCTCCATGTCTACTCCAGGCATATTCTTCACTAACCTATTATACTGACGCACGGTTGCTTGTTCGTACGTTGAGAATCCTTGGTCGGGGTTTTTCTTCTTCTTTTTACGTTCTAACCTTTCAGCTTCAGCTGCAGATATGTTGAGAAGCTTCACTCGATCATAATTTTTACCTTGCTTGGCTGCTTCCTCTCTTTTTTGCTGATCTTCAAGTAACCATTCAGCCTGCCGCCGTTTGGCTTCATGATTTGGTGGCAACTTATTCCTTGCCTCTTCTGCCACGACTTCCTGATGGTTATGTGACCTTGCTTCGTTTCTAGCAGTGTGTAATGAACGCAGCCTTTTCAAACGTTCAGCTTGCTTCTCCGCAAACGTCATCTCCTTGGGAGCCAAGGACGATGTTTCTGTCGAACTCATTTCAATGCAATTCTCAATTATTTGGTAAGACAATTACAAAAAAAAACATTAATTTGATAAAACACGTTCTTATCTACTTATTTTTTGCGAAATGCGAAAGTCTAATTTCGAAATATTCGCTGCATTTATAAATTAGAATAATCAAATAAGATATAATTCAAGAAACACGTAAATAACATGTAAAACTAATATCACCACAGAATACAAAAGAAATGATGGTGATTAGTAATAACCACAGAGTAAGTAATCAACTGCGTTATAAGAGTTGGCACCGGCCCTATATCAACGGAACCTGGAAAAAGAAACAAGGTCATGATACCATTTCGAAGTAATATCCCAATGAAAATTAGAAAAAAAAAATATTCATAGTGTTGTACCACTATCTATATATACCTCCATCCAATATATTGATATCAGGACTTACGATAAAAAAATTTTGCTATTACATAATATAATTTTTTTTAATTTTACAAAGTAAAACAAGTATCTATATTCAGTTACTTTATTTTACTCTAATACAATTTAAAATATTTTTTTTGACAGGTAAGTAATGTAAATTTTCTTTGGCACATTAACTAATAGTTGAAAGTATTATGCTAAGTCAAACATCATATAAAAACACGTACTTTTAGTTATAAATTATTAGAACATATTTCATATTTAAAACCACTGCTGAACATAGCCTCCCCATAAGGAGGCTTTTACCAGTAGTTGTCATGATCGCTTTTGGTGATGTTTGAAGAGGGACGCTGCTATCCATCCCTCCACCATAAACTCCTTTAATCGCCTCTTACGACACCCACGAGAAAGGAAGGGGTGGCCTACACGGTAAATTAATTAATTAGTCATAAATAATTTTAAGTACTATATATTTTCTCAATAAATGTTATATAAATAGAAGAGTTATACATACTTTTCTATTTACCTACATTACTAACATTAGAAAGGTATACAGTTTTAAAACTGTTCAAAAACTTATTTAAATTTCTCCAAGAATTTATTTCATAAAAATTTCGCGGATCTTTTAGCCAAAATTACGAAATATATACTCAATTTGACAATGCTGATGAAAGTAGATCAAACGGCACGTTCATAGATTAAGAGTAATCATACTAATTAGAAGTGATTCCGATAAGATAACTGTAATTTCTTTTAAAGCTAAAAATTTCTCTATATTTGTTGTCAATTATAATTTTTAACATATTGTTTTATCAATAGCGCTATTTAGGAATTAAAATTGGAACTAATTTAGTCTACAACCTTCTATTGTCAAAACTATGTAATGCATATACACGATCAACAATTGTCAACACAATAATTTAAATAAATATTCATAATATTATATACCTATTTATAATCTACTTCTATATAAAATATCTATATCAATAGACATAATCATAATAAAATCTAACAACTTTATGATATATTTAATATTTTCAAATAGAATACACTGATTGTATACATACATTTCACACATTTTTTTTAGTCGAAGCGACATGGCCTGTAATTACAAGATATGAATATGAGTGTTCTTTTATTTGTATCCAATTTCTATTTCTTGTACTTTTTCTCCAAATTGTAACGAATTCTTTCACTTTAATCCTCAGATTTATGTTATCATAAACTATTTCGTTTTTACTACGTTTTATCATTTAACCATCAGATGAGCGACGAAAGCAAATACCAAGCACTTCCTTAAGAATGACCCATATTTCTATATACCTAATTAATTTTTTCCAAAACTTTTTGGAACAATTTCAGCTCACCAAAATTACTCATCCAGAAGTAGAAAGATAAATATCTAAACTGGTAGTACTGAAATCGGAGCGAGACTATAGGCTCAAAAAGACTTGTATCTAGAGCCATAAAACATATTAATAAAAAAAAAGTGAGACGATAGAAGGTATTGAAGTTAGTAAAGAATTGATTGAAGTGAAGTAAGTAAATTATTAACGTAACTAAACTAGTCTGTCTATGTTTTGTAACCGTGTTGGTTGTGTGGAAAAGTATTGTGTGTCGAATTATTTTTTTTGAAATCTAGTGCTTTTTGAAGTTCACGATGTCGGATGAAATCGCAGAGAATGGAACAGCTAACGGAGACGTGCCAGAGATCGAGCTGATTATAAAGGTAAAGTCAGTTTTACACGTGTTATTCCAAGACTAGCTGGTAACAGAGCCGTCAACAAGGCAAGGCACGCATATTGTTGGCCTTCGTGTTATATTAAAATTGCTAAAATGTGAAAAAGTAACGAAAATATTGTGCCTGTACACATTGAATTACCTGTTTCGCCTTATAATTTTTAAATTTTTCGGTACCATGAATAATGGTGGTAGGTACCACGTAGGTACATCTCCACCCACAGCACTAAACACTAGCATTCATGCATCTATAAATTGCATGATACTGTCGTGCAGCACTTGTATGCATGAAAGTATATTATTACTGCACTTATAATGCGCGTTATTTAGGTCACCTGCAACTCTGTTTTGTTGATTTGATACGTCTGGCGCGTTTTATGGAACATTGACTTGACTAGAAAACTTAGTGTAGGTAGGTACATTAGATAGACAGCATGTAAAGGAGATATTAGTTAATATTGTTAGAGGCTGCGATCTGGTTACACTGTTCTCCAACTATCCTATCTTATAATAAACTTAGCATAGAGGTAGTACAATCTGTCTTAATGGAACATAATGAAAATGTAAACAAGTTTTTTTTTATTATCACAGAAATACTTCTCTAAGGCTACCCACTGACAGAAATACTATAAATGAAATTAGTAACAAATTAAAATATTTGATCAACTTGTAAATTTTTTTATTTGTCAACAGACTGGCTTATGGTCCGGTCAATTAAGTTTGCATTTTTATTAAATTTAATTGAAATAAGCCTTGAATGTTTAAATACACATGTTTAAGATAAGTTTTTTAGATAAGTATTTATCTACTCATCATCTCATAGATCTCGTTTAAAGTAAGAAAATATTTAAAATATTCACTATGTAGTGATAGAGCAGGAATATAGTAGACTTTACACTCAAGTCAAGATGTTATAACACAAAAAGATAACTAAAGGAAAAAAGCACCATAATCTAAAGCAAGAGAAGGATAGTTAACCAAAACCCAACACCAAACCAATTTGTTTACTTGTTATATTTCCCTTGTTAGAAAATATAATATATGTGAAGGTGCAGATCAAAACTAATTTTTGCATTCCAACACAATACTATATACTTTATATGGCACAGGTAATTGTTTTTCAAACCTTTGTATATTTTATGAATATTTAAATGTATATACAAATGTATAATCAAGTTTTTTGAACTTAGAAAACATAAAGTAATGAAGTAAATGTTTGAAATTAAGAGTTGTACAATCAACACACTGTTAATATTTTAACTATCATAAAGCATCCAGATTGTTAGCAGTATTGAAAAAAAAATATATGGGTACTCATTTTCACCCATAACTAAATTTGCTAGAGTGAAATAAAAAATAACCTGTCTTTCTCTATCATATACATGTATATATTAAATGTAAAGCCATTTGGGAGGTAAATTCATATTTACATTTATAATATTAGGAATATTATAAATCATCATTATCAACAGGGGGAGGCCTCAGCAGTGAACAGTTAATGGCTGATATGATGATATTTTGATCATCTTCATACCAGCTGTTTACTGCACTGTCGAACATAGGCCTCCCCCATAGGCTACCATAAGCAATGGTCTCGAACTGCCTAATAAATAATTGTAAATAAATAATTGTTGTAATGAATGTGTGTTGCCATATAAAAATGAATAAAATGAAATTAATATAGCGGTAGGCGCATGCCCTTTATAATTTATTTAACTTTATTGTTAAATTCATTAGTAGTATTCCAAACTCGGTGTGCCCATATTTGATTGCTGTACACATTATTACATAACATTAAACAATGGATATGAATATGATGAGTTTACAACCTTTTGTGGTTGGTTGTACACATTTATTGTCTTTTAATACTTGTAAATTGTCACTTTTGTATGTACTCTCTTATTGGATATAAAGAAAATCTATCAATCGATTTAATAAACTAAATACCTATTTTTTTTATCAATGTAAAGATATTTATTATTAGGTTTGACAACTGGAACACTTCATTCATTAACCGCGTGATCCATGGCTGTTATGATGTAGCTTCATTAACAGATCCCCATATACGCGAAACCCAGAGGGGTTGAGGTCAGCTCAACGGGGCAGGGGGGAAGGGCTTGTTAGTAATGCGGACTACTAGTCCTATTGCTAGCAATATACCCTATCAGGTCGACCTCCTCGTGGTTTACCCTAGAGATCCTCGTATTGAATCTCAGGTGTATTCATCACGATTGGCTAACTGACCTGACCTTTTCATTCTCACCTATCATCTCTCACTAGTGCCCCGCCAGTGTATACCGTTAGCGCGATCGGGTTTGCCATTCCATTATTATCCATTAAAAGAAAAACAGGGCACGGTATATTTATACTGTATTAAAATTAATTTTACTTATAAAATATTTTCCGAAATAATCAAGTAAGAATCCTTTTACATTTAACAACTACTTAATCAAGCGGTATATCTTAATCTCGCGGATGAAAATTATTAATAAAAATATTTATTTTATTACGTTAACAAAACATTTGTTTTGTTAGCGTCTCCACATTACGTTTCTGGTACCTTTTAAATGAGAAAATCAGCAAACATGTACAAATAAAAAAAAAGTGTCGGTTTAATTGATTGAGTTCAATAAATACAAGGTAAACGTTCTCGATGTAGATCTTCGACGCGATGGACTGACCTCCTCAAAACTGTCACACAGAAATCCATTGTGGAATGCTCTCGTTCGGCTGTGAACAGATATAGATGCAGGCACATTGTGACGACTTTAACCACGAAGGAGAGCATCATCGATAATCCATGACAGTCGTCATTAAAACAATTAGCGCTCTGTCAACAATGTACGACTGAAGACAGAGAGAGTAGATCGAGCCCAGTTCGACACCTTGAGTTTCATGGTTCGATACACATGTAGTCCAAAAAGTGTTGCAAAGGTACGTAGCCCGAGTTCGTAGTCGCATCTACGATTAATAATACTCGTAATTAGATATTTACTTTTAAAAGTTCTCAAAATGCAACACAGCAATTACTAAGACAGTTGCAAGAAACAACTGCTTGGGTAATTTATCAAGATCCTCCTTAGCTCCGGGTGTATTTACACCTGCGAGTCCCGGGCCCCACAACCCATGGTTAAATATAGTTTAAAAATAAACGTGTCACGATTATTTCACCATTGAAGTAGATAAATGACACAATTAGATACATATACGGACTTTGTTATTAAATACGTTGTGTTTTTACATTATACGGAGACATGTCTTATGTTTTAGACTACTGACAGACATGTGTAAATTATATGAATTAAGTTTTTAAAATCTAATGTACTCACAGAGTTATTACAGTTATTTATAGAAGGTAAAACTATGTGATGATAGTCTATTACGAAAATATATGGAACAGCAAGAAAAATACTGAAAATGTGTGTCTATATTATAGGTATATTTTGATAAAAAATTAAAACTTCTTTATAACTAATTTATCTTTCTAGCCAGGTATTATAATCGTTAATTAAAAAAAAAACAATAAAATTAGAACACAACAGTCTTAATTGATTTCACTTACAAATATTCGAATGAAGTAATTTCGGGCTATATATAAAATAATATATATGTATATATTTTTTAAATTAATGTACCCCATGCTTATAATTTATCTCGGTGTTGGGTATCTATTTTCGTTTTACTCGGTAATGGTGAACTGTCACAGACAATAGCCGAGTCTTGTTTGTTTTTTTTTTTTGTAATTTTCTGACAGTCAACTATTTATTGGTAACTTTTTTACAATAAAAGGCATTTAGTTCGATAGGTAATATAATTTATGAAAAAAGAAGAGTGTATATGCAACTATTCATAGAGAGGAATACTACGTCTACACTGCAATTAATTTCCGATGTGCATCCGTTTTTGCTCATAAAACATCGTTGTTTTGACCATTAATCATTTTGTCGTCGGAATTATATAATGTTTATTGCCAATGCGATTACGAATACATTTGCACGCTTTTTTTTTCTCCTGTTATTTCATTATTTAATTTATTTATACAGTACAAAACTTTAATAGGAAATACGTGCATGAAAGATGCAATTCATTAGCACAATTTACTTATATCTAATTTATGTTTGCAACTCACAGCTTTAGGTTGTACTCGTAAGATTGGATAAAAATAGTCTATGTTTAGGAAATTTCTTTCAAACTCGCTCAGCTGTTTAAGACTTTGAGTCAAAGATACAAAAAACTTAAACATCTTTACGAACTTTCACATTTATAATCTCAGTAGGATTAGTAGAAAATAAATATAAAGGGTAAAGAAAAAATTCGTTTAAGTCGACTCGACTAACATGGTTTATAAATGTAATGGTCTGACACAAGTTAACTCTATCGATTATAAAGTTGTCAAAATCGATTAATTGGCGAAGACGTACTCATAACATACACAAAGAAAGGCTTATTGAGAACTACTAGAATTGCTTAATAATAATATAGGTAATAAGGTTTTATAAAAGACAACAGAGCTTAACTTTTATTTAAAATTGAACCTTATATTGAAGTGTGGTAAGTGCAATTTAATTTGTTTAGTCCAAAACAACTTTCGTGGCACGTAGCCATTGTTATTTCTCCGTGAATTTCCGTCGACTTTTTCATGTTTTCCTGTTTACAATTACCAATTAGGTGACCAGATACAAAATAAATAATATACAATATTTTATTTAAAACGAAATTCCGATGACTTTAATCAGTGCCTCTTAACCGCTGGTCCACGGACCATTGTGTTCTAACTGTTGTGCCTAGAAGCACCCAAAACCTTTAGAAAAAGGTATTAAAAAATTACAACGAGTCGTCACTACGACGCACATCACTAGTATGCTACAATTTAAAAAATAAATCTATACATTTTTCTTTTTTATCAACATGTTAACACAAGACACTGACTCAGATCATTTGTTTTGTGTATATCCTTTTTCAATTTAAAAAAAAAAGGAGTAGATCCTC